GCTGGCCTCTGCCCAGCTGCTCTTCCAACAGCATCACTAAGGAAGTATCAACCTTAGCACTGAATCACCCACATTGTAAATGCTCAATAAATCTCAATAAATAAAGAGGGAGGACTTCCCTCCTGGACCATCGCAGGGGCTTAAAATTCTCTTGAAGTATCAGGAGCTTTATCTCCAGAAGGTTAAACTAAAATACCCACCACCCGCTACCAACACCAACCAATTTAACACATGGACTCAGTAATGCCCCAGCTCCAAAGAGCAAGAAAGACAGGTCCATGAAAGTGAGCAGTACAGAATGGCAGCCACGCCCACCACGCTGGTGCCAAAGCCACATTCAAATCCTTGCTCTGTCTCCGACCAGCTCCGTGACTTTGAGTGAGTTACTTAACCTCTCTGAAGATAATTTCCAAAAGTGCTGTGAAGATCAAACAATTCACTGCACGCACCGCATCGTGCCTCATGCTCTAGGAGAGCTTAATAGACATTAGTGATAGTTTTTTGGGGGGAGGCCTCCATTGCAGCACCCCACAGGTGCTCCACCATCACCTCCCCACTCCTAATTAAACCTTCTCTCCTTTCCCTCTCCCTTATAAAAACACCCTTTCCAGTGCTTCATTCTTCAGTCTGGTTGGCTAAGCCTGTGATGTTGCAGTGTCTGACAATGGAATTCTGCCTTGTTTCAGGTCGGGTGGAAGGCCAGCACCGAGGGCACCCTGAGCCCGTGGATGTGTGTGTGGTGTGGCTGCCCAACCAGGGGAGACAGGACAAGTGGTAGCGCAGGGAGGTCTCTTGGACCAACAAGGTGGAATCAGGAGCCAAAGAGATCACAACCCAAATCCCAGCTCTACTACATGCAAATTGGGGTGATTAATGCCTACTTCCCGGGCTAGCGAGCATCGAGGAGGGAATTCTTTCAAGAAGTGTTGTTGCCCACCCAAGCCCCGATTTCCTGTACATGGGCCGCTGCTGGCCTCTAGTGGCCACTGGATAAATTGCACAGCGAGTTGAGCTGAGAACAGAGGTGTGTGAGAAGTTTTTCTCCACTTCTGAATTTTCCTGGTGCCGGGGTTCTCAACCATGACAGGCGCATAACTCCCTTTTTATAAAATGTATTTTGTGTAATGATAGTAATTTTTAAAAACTTTAAGCACTTTATTGAGGTATTGACATACTATAAATGACATATTTATAGTGTAAGATTTGGTAGTTTTTGATATATGTTATATACCGAAGAAGCCATCATCACAACCAAGACAGTGAACATCTCCATCACCCCCAGAACTTCCTTGTGCTCCTTTCTAATTCCCCACCCCAAGCAAGTACTGAGCGGCTTTCAGTCATTGTAGGTTAGCTCACATTTTCTAGAGTTTTCTGTAAATGTAATACTACAGTGTATACTCTTTTTTTGTTTGTTTGTTTTGGTCTGGCTCCTTTCACTCGGCATAATTAGTTTTGAAATTTATCCATGTTGTTGTGTGTACCAAAAGTCCATTCCTTTTTATTGCTGAGTAGTATTTCATCATATGAATGTACCACAGTTTATTCAGAATGAGGATAAATTTAAAAATTAATACAATGCCCTACAATCATATAAAAGAGAAACTGAAGGAAAGTAATACAATAGTAGGTAAGTTCCATGTGGATGCTCAGCCATGATCACACTGGAACATATAATGATGGAATCAGATGCTTGACCTATACACACAATTACATGAACCCAGTTCTTTGTCAGAAACTTTGGTTTGGCTTCCATGGCCAGCAGTTGGCCATCCCATGCAGGAGGGTACAGTGCTGTGTGGATGATGCGTGGGGCCTGAGATTGAGCCGAGAAGGTGGACACAGGCAGGTTTTAACTCAGTGGAAAGATTCATTTCTCACAGGGCTGACCATCAGGGTAGGATGCTTCTTTCTGTTACGTGAATGGTGTGTTTGGACTGGACCACTGTGGGATTTTAGACCACCATCCAGCCTATTAATGATCCAGACTCATTCACTAAGGTCCATATTTAATTTTTCAAAGGCACGTTTGCATTCCTCTTATCTTACTTTCACGGCACAATCTAGGAGCTTCCACTGCACTTTCCTGAGCAGGGACATAAGCAGTCTTCCCTTCCCCAAGTTCTCAGGGCCAGCGGCAGGCATTGGCACTTCCCAGTCCCACTGGGGCCTCTCTCAGAGGCCAGAATATGGTTTTATGGAAGAAAGTGTTCAGCAATGCTTTGGAGGCAACAAGGCTGTAGAACCTTCTACTACAAACATAACCTTCAGTTGATAGCTTGTTAGGTTGAATTATAACTTGTAAATGTTTGTATAGACAGATGATCTGTGGCCTCCATGCTTTCTTGCCCTAGGCTGTGACATCCAGAATTTATTCATGGGCCCCAGTTTGGGTTTTTAAGTTCCTTGACTGAGTAGGAAGCCAACCAGGGCTCATATCTGTCATGGTTAGGTGGGTGGAGGCTGGAGGGCCCCTCTGGTCCCCCTTTGAGTGATGCCATCAACCCCTCTAGGACTTTAAGCTGCAGGGAGATCCTCCTTTGGCCCAATTTCCAGCATGTGGACCTGGGCTACAGAAACCTCTCCTTCCGCCCAGGGCTCTAATTCTGCAGACAAGGTTATTTGGGTCAGCTGAAGCATCTGTAGATTTTTGGTCACAAGAAGTACCTCATGAAGTGGCACCCCGAGAATGCTCTCTTCCAAGGGTTCTACCTCCACCCAACTCCTGCTGGCTTCACATCCCAAGATGTAATGTGTTGCTGTCCTGCTAGAGAGGGAAGTCCAGAGACGGAGAGTACAGGGCAGCACTGCCCACTTAGAAAGCTCTTCCTACTTCCTGTTAGACCCTATCAACCCATTTCCAAGGGTAGGGTGAGGATCAGTAGCAAAACTTTCTCTTGCCTCCTTTTTGCTGCAGTTGGTGGAAGTATCTCCCAGACTTCCTTGGTGACTTATGTTACTAGCATGTGTGGCCTTCATGGAGAGGTAACAGGTTGTCAGGTCACCACTCCAAGGATGGTTAGCCCCATGCTGACTCTATTAGGCAGGTCTCTTTGGTTGCAAGTGACAGAAAACCAACTCTAATGTGTTTACACAAGAAGGGACCTTTATAGAATCGCAAGGTTGCAGTAAGGACCAGAGCGTGTTTAGGTTGCAGAAAGAGTGAACCCTGGGACTGGAATTCTGTCTGGACGCTGCTCCCTCTTCAAGGAGGCTTGGTCTCTCAGATGGGCTGTATCCACAGGATTCCAAACTGTCAGCCTCTGGCCCTACACCCAAGGCTCCCTGTAAGAAGCTGAGCTGCTCTGCTTAATTTCAAGTCAAGACATACTGGTTGCGTCCAGGGCATACCCTGTCACATGGAGGGCAGGGCCCTGCGACTGGCAGCCCCACTAAAACCCCATGGGGGAATGAGTTGCCTCACAGATAGTCCGTTCCCAGGAGGGAAGGGAGGGGCAGACAGATCAGCCAGCGCTCTCTACCCTGTCCCACCGGGCGGCGGTCTGCCTCACAGCGTCAGCAATCCCTCCAAGCCCGTCTGCCACTTCTGCCTGAAGGTAGGGTACACCTCAAGGCTGAGCCAGTTTGCAGGGTTAAGTCCAGAGTATTTCCTGGGGAGAGGGTTTAGCTCAAGTGCATGCTTAGCATGCACAAGGTCCTGGGTTCAATCCCCAGCACCCCCATCGAAAAACTAAACCTAATTACCTCTTCCCTGCGATAATTAAAAAAAAGACCAGAGTATTTCCAGGAGAGTGATGACATCACAGAACTGGGGTTCCAGAAGGTGGGGGTGGCCCAGCACTCCTGCCAACTGTAGACAATGGAGAGCAGAGAGCGGGGGAGCGGGACAGGGCTAACGGGTAGTCCCTGAGGAAGAAGAGGCTCCTAAAGGAACGCCTTTGTTCTGCAGATTCTCACTGAAAGCCCTGGGCTGACTGGGACCTGGGGCCACTGGGGCCAGAGAAGGATAGGAGAGAGGTAAGCTTGGGGAGGGAAGGTGGGTGGGTATGCACCTGCCAGAACCACTGTCTTCCCTAAGAGAACCCTAAGAAGGGACTTCACGGGCAGAGATGGGGCTCCCTGCTTTCCAAGGCTCAGTGATAACCTGTTTGTGAAGGAACCTACTGAGTCAGGGCAGAATATGATTACACAGGGCATGTTTATACTGTAAAAGTATTTGTTGTTTGTCTGAAATTCTAATGTAACTGGGCACCCTGTAATTTTATTTGCTAAATCTGGCAACTCTAGGGTGGGAAAGAGAAGCAAAAGAATGGTCACAAGCACAGGCCGCTATGGAGTGAGCCTTAGAAAACAGAATGTAACATCCTTGAGGAAACAGGGCATCAGGGCAGCCAATTTGTCCAAGCAGAAGCTGCCATGACTCATGAAGCCGGTGGGTGGAGGAACTCTCAGGGTCTAGTTTAAGGGGAAAGATACACACACACACACACACACACACACATACACACACACACAGACATACACAGAAAATGTTCTAAAACTGACTGTGGCGCTAGTTGCACGGTTCAGTGAAAATGAATTGTACACTTTAATTGAATTAATCTGACACACACAGAGAGTGAAAGTGAGGGTTATTTCTACAACTAGAAAATTCTTACTTGCTTTATGATATGCACTTCTGAGTGGAAAAAAAGAACAGAACCTATAACCAGCCCCCAGGAGCTGCACAAGGCAGGGCATCCCCTTAGGGAGAGTCACGTGTCACGTGGGGTGTGGGGTTGGGAGGTTCATGACACTATTCTTTCTCCTTTTGTAAATGTTTGTGATTTTTCTGCAATAAAAGAGTATTTATAAAATAATACATGAGAGGAAAGAGGCTGGGAACAGCCGGGTGGAGAGCTGTGAGTGAGCGAGGACATTTGGCTGCTCTCTCCATATTCCTCAGGCCCTCGGAGCAAACCAGCAGGCAGTGTGGGAGACCCTGGGACCCGCCGGCCCGCCACTGCACCCCCCTCCACTGCGCCTCGTCCCCGCCGGGGATGCCCAGCCTGCTGCTCGTCTCCTTGGCCAGCTGCCTGCTGGCCATAAAGCAGGCCAGCCCCATCAGCCGCTGTGACTTGGCCAAGGTGCTGCGCGAGGAGGACTTGGATGGGTTTGAGGGCTACTCCCTGAGTGACTGTGAGTGCCATCCCTCCCACCTCCACCCCCACCCCCACCACGCCTCCTCT